AGTATCACACAGCATCACTGTACCACCCTTAACTCCACTCTCCTTTCACTCCCACTCACACCCACGCTATTGAAGAGCAAGCATTGAAACAGAGTATATCATCATGGGTCATCATATCATTGTCATGGACCTCATCAAAGAGAAGGGGAGAACACTGCTGTAATCATGGAGAAACAGAGTTGGAAAAAATCACCCCCTTGAAATGGTGGCATGAAATAATATTTTCACTGTGACTCATTCCCCTGGATCCAAACCCCTGGCTGGGAGCAGTGAGGGTGGGGAATGGATACTGGATACCTGGAACATAGGCAACAGACTCCCCTTGTGGTCAGATAACACACTGAACCAGCATACTGTTTTGTTTTACAATGGTACCTTTTCTACTCAAGACTAATGTCAATTAAAAAACAACCACAGCAGATATGTTATGTGATGAAGCTGGCCGATACATAAAAATATTTGTAATCAAAGTATGGAACAGATCAATCCAAAATGGAGATCAAAGCAATTACATTACCAGTGGTGTAAAGTACTTAAGTAAAAACGATTAAAGTACTACTTAAGTAGTTTTTTGGAGTATTTGTACTTTACTTCACTATTAACATTTTTGCCAAATTTTACTTTTACTTCACTACATTCCTAAAGAAAATTTACTTTTTACACAATACATTTTCCCTGACACCCAAAAGTACTCATTACATTTTGACACGGAAATGGTCCAATTCACACACTTATCAAGAGAAAGTCCCTGGTCATCCCAACTGCCTCTGATCTGGCGGACTCACTAAACACAAATGCTTTGTTTGTAAATTATGTCTGAGTGTTGGAGTGTGCCCCTCGCTATCTGTCAATAAAAATAAAATAAAAATGGTGACTTCTGGTTTGCTTAATATAAGGAATTTTAAATGGTTTATACTTTTACTTTTGATACTTAAGTACATTTGAGCAAATCCATTTACTTTTGATACTTAAGTATATTTAAAACCAAATACTTTTAGACTTTTACTCAAGTAGTATTTTACTGGGTGACTTTCACTTTTACTTGAGTCATTTTCTATTAAGATATATTTACTTTTATGACAATTGAGTACTTTTTCCACCACTGTACATTACTCCACAACCAAACTCTGAATCAAGGCCCTGAATTCATACTATCAGTCTCAATTTACCCTGTAGGTTATTCCAGGACCATAGGCGTTAAAAGCAAAACACTGGTTTTCCAATGTCTGTGCATCGATGTGAAATTTTGAGAAATAGCCTATCCTGTGAACGTGTCTGATAGCTGCTAAATTTCATAAGAAGGGAGGAGAGGCTTCTGAAGAATGGCCAGATACCAGTGCTGTAACCTTCTTGTAGTTAGTGCGGTCCAGCCTACACTCTGGTGTAAGACACAATGGTGGGTGAGACCCACTAGTAATAAAAGAGCACATATGATTAACTGTGTCAATATTTAATATGTAATGTGGAGGTAGCAGCATGCATAACCAATACATTACATTGCCATAGTCTATCATAGGAAGGTGGCTTGTACAAGTATTTTCTTAATTTAATATATGAGAAACAAGACCGAAAAAGACAGTTTGCCATCTAACCATTTTACACGTTGCAAGTTACCGCTGAGTCACCAATCAAGAAATTCAGTCACTTGTCAAAGTCACTGCCCACACATCTGAAAATAATTGTCCAGTTGTCATCAACATTACAGTCAACCAGGGACGCAACTTTCACTGGGGACTGGGGGACATGTATTCATACTATTGCATCCTTCCACAAGATATAGTCCCGACACATATCTAGGGTTGCTACCCAAACCGGCTGGTCGTTCGTTCTATCGGTTCGGTTGCTAGAGAGGCGACCCAGTCATTCAGTGTTTTTGTTCTGTATCTATGGACGCGACCCAGTCATTCGTTCTAAATGTTCCATTGCCATACTGACTGGCAACGTTCTTATCCCTTGCTTGCTAGCTAGCCAGCTACGGCTAACTTATAGTCACGTCAAAAAGTGCAGCCAGAATAACAGCAAAGAAGCCATATTTGCATTTGTTTAAACTGTTTTCTAGTGACATTTATTTGGATACATCCATAACAATGAGCTAATGAGGCGCGATTTCGCCTGGCATAGAAAATGTGCTCCCTGATGCTGGAAAGACTGCAAACGAGCTGCACTTTGTTTTGTTTTACCTTTTTCCAATTTACATTTCTTTGTATATATCCATAAAAATGATGCCAGCTGATTCATGATTTCGACTGGCTGAGAAACGCTGCCTGCCTGTCTGTCTTGTCCCGACTCCCGACACGTTCATTACTATGGGACAGCAGGAGATTGAATATTGAAACAATGTTGCAAATGTCGGAGAGACATACAACAAGGTTTATATAAATCTCCGCTGTTGTAAACTATACAAATCTCTGTAGTATCTAAACAGTTTAGGATTTTGCTGACATTTGCAAATGGTGTAATGGATGAACTCTACTCTGCTTGTGGAAACATCTGGAAAACATTACTACATAGGTTTCTTGGGATAGAGGAAAGTCTGCTATGTAGAGGCAGGGGATTGGTTTATTAAAATCACGCCATATTATGTTACATAGGATATAAATACTTGGTTGAGACAAAGGAGGGGGAGACAACAGATTGGGCCGTTGTTCTCCAGATGCTTGCAGATATCTGTAAATTGATACTGTGAACTTTGATACAATAAAATCTTTATAATCAAAGAACAGTGTAAGCGGACTTCTTATCATCACAGCATAAATCAGCATCGTTGTCTCGGACACCACATCTCCGCTGTTGAAAACTAAATGTTAGTCTAAAGAAATTAGAGATAATGTCTAGATGCTTTTATAGTGGAGATCAAGTTTATAAAGTGCCTGGTTGGGCTGACGAGACAGTGGATTGTGCAGTCAGATGGAACAGAGTAAATAGTCATTTAAAGTAATAGATTTAGCCGGTGGTAACTTGTGGAATAGACACCAGGCTGGAATGCGGTTTTAACCAATCAGCATTCAGTATTAGATCCACCCGTTGTATAAGTGGCCAATATACCATGGCTAAGGGCTGCTCTTAAGCACGATGCAACTGGGAGCCCATAGTATATAGGCCATATACCACAAACCCCCGAGATGCCTTATTGCTATAATAAACTGGTTACCAATGTAATTAGAACAGTAAAAATACATGTTTTGTCATACCCATGATATATGGTCTCATATACCACAGCTTTCAGCCAATCAGCATTCAGGGTTTGAAACACCCAGTTTATAAAGGGAAATAATGCACGTTCTAGAATGCCCTTCAAGCCAATCAGAAACAAGTATTCAACAATGCCATGGCATAAGAATATGTCATCCTAATGTACAGGAGTCAGTGTACATTTCAGAAACTTTGGCAACAACTTGTTTTTCATCACAGAGTCATATGATGAAGAACAACAGATGATTTAACCCTTATCAGGACATGGCAGGACTGCTGGTTCAACCTCCCACTGAGCAGACATCAACTGAGAAATCATGGTCACCATCTGTAGCTCAATTGGTAGAGCATGGCGCTTGCAACGCCAGGGTAGTGGATTCGATCCCAGGGACCACCCATACGTAAAAATGTATGCACACATGACTGTAAGTCGCTTTGGATAAAAGCGTCTGCTAAATGGCATATTAAATATATTATTAAAATATCAGCTGCAGCTTTATCAGACAGACCAAACCCTAGTGCCTTGGCCCTTGTTCAAGATGACAGCCCAGCAGGCAGTGGTTGGTTTTGCAGCCGGCCTTATGTCAGAGTTCGGCCTAACAGCCTTGTTTCTCAGGAACAGAGAAGAGGAAGAAAGTGATTCATATAAGCCCAGTGATATGTCCAGGTAGAGCTCCTGAGCCACCTCTTCAGATTGATCAGATTCTGAATCCCACCAGGTAAGTCTTCTTCCCATTGTCCTATCATCCAGATGTGTTCTCTCTATTCATCTTCTCGTCCCACTCTCCCTCTATATATCTGCTTTTTACACTTGAATACTTGATTACAATGGTTTAAGTGTCAGTTCACAGATCACAAGAATCAAATGACTCACATTTCTTTAGTGTACTGTTCATAAAATAATAAAAATTTTCACAGCTGCAGATATGGAAATACCCACACCCAACATGGAAACCACGTTTGATAACATTCCATTTATTCCATTCCAGCCATTACAATGAGCATGTCCTCCTATAGCTCCGCCCACCAGCCTCCACTGGATTAAATCCCTCCGAAAAACAGAATTGCATCTTTGAAAACTACACAAGTAGTGCCGTTGTTGGCAAGCCCATTTCCTTCATCATCACCACCAACAAAGCCATCAAGTTTGCAGAGAAAGTAGAGATCTGGGTGGATGACGAAGAGAAAAAAGATTGCAAGCCCAAAGCTACGTGGTGCTGATGTCTCTGCTAAACACTTCATGCAAGAAAAGGGAGTACAGATTAAAAATGCTAGATAATCTTAGCCCAAATTACACAGGCCCAAATGGTACATTGATTGGGGAAAAATGATGCCTTTGGCAACTCTTTGGCTAGGGTTCCAGAATATATATTACTTAGTAGATATGAGTGTCTGCGATAATCACCACTTGAAATTCTGGCAAATAAAAAAATATGAGGAAACATTACGGTTTCATTAATAAAGGCTTAGATTGTGTGAATGTTGCTTATCCAATTGATACTCAGTATAAAAAAGAAAATCCTATCTATGGTTTTAATCCTTTAACAACATATTGTATTATGTCCAACAGGATGTAATGTTGATACATATTACTACATTTTTCAAAATACATTCATATATTTTACATGTAGAAAAACAGTCTTAAAACATACACCACTGTTTATATTAATCTCTTTATTAAGGGAATGATTAGAGGAATGTGTTGTAGTGCTGATTTTACAGTTAGTAAACTATCATGGTAAACATTTCATTAGACATGACAAACGGCCTGGCAGGGTCTGGAATGGTACAGTACAGTACAGGGCTCCTCACAGGCTGCAGGCCTGCAGCTTCTTGTCAGCCTGCTTCAGAGACAGCCAGGTGTTGAGCATGGAGGCCCGCAGTTTGGACCACACCATGTGGTCACTGAGCCCAAAGATCTGAGCAGCAAACTGGGCTGCAGCTTCTGGGGAGAGGACAGTGGAGCAGCCAAGACCTGCGGGAGAGAGGCGCTCACAGGGTTAAGGTAAACACACAGATACATTAAAACGGGAGAATTACTGAATACACACAGCAAGAAAGACCACATGCAGGGATGAACTCACCGCTTGGCATGCGAAGGGATGACCAGATGTCCTGTGCCCCCCAGTTGGGGGTGATAGGAGGGCAGTTGATGACTGGGTAGGCGGTGTTTCCTGACATCACTGGACCAAGGCCGTTGCTTCTGCCCGCCACAGCCACAAACACAGTTGGTACTCCGTCACCTGGGAAAATACTGCACATTAGCTCATCCATACAGAAGGGTAAAATCATAACTTTCATGTTGTTTCATATTAGATAGACTTTGTTGTAATGTTAGCCAGCATACTGCACAGTTCCTCCACATACCAAGCCATTATTTTAAAAACATTCAGAAAAAATGTACAGTATCTCACAAAAGTGAGTACACCCCTCACATTTTTGTAAATATTATAGTATATATTTTCATGTGACAACACTGAAGAAATGACACTTTGCTACAATGTAAAGTAGTGAGTGTACAGCTTGTATAACAGTGTAATTTTGCTGTCCCCTCAAAATAACTCAACACACAGCCATTAATGTCTAAACCGCTGGCAACAAAAGTGAGTACACCCCTTAGTGAAAATGTCCAAATTGGGCCCAATTAGCCATTTTCCCTCCCCGGTGTCATGTGACTCGTTAGTGTTACAAGGTCTCAGGTGTGAATGGGGAGCAGGTGTGTTACATTTGGTGTCATCGCTCTCAACCTCCCTCATACTGGTCACTGGAAGTTCAACATGGCACCTCATGGCAAATAACTCTCTGAGGATCTGAAAAAAAGTTCATTGAGGGAACTATGAATGCCAACATGTACTGTGACATACTGAAGCAGAGCATGATCCCCTCCTTTCGGAGACTGGGCCGCAGGGCATTATTCCAACATGATAACGACCCCAAACACACCTCCAAGACGACCACTGCCTTGCTAAAGAAGCTGGACTGGCCAAGCATGTCTCCAGACCTAAACCCTATTGAGCATCTGTGGGGCATCCTCAAACGGAAGGTGGAGGAGTGCAAGGTCTCTAACATCCACCAGCTCCGTGATGTCGTCATGGAGGAGTGGAAGAGGACTCCAGTGGCAACCTGTGAAGCTCTGGTGAACTCCATGCCCAAGAGGGTTAAGGCAGTGCTGGAAAATGATGGTGGCCACACAAAATATTGACACTTTGGGCCCAATTTGGACATTTTCACTTAGGGGTGTACTCACTTTTGTTGCCAGCGGTTTAGACATTAATGGCTGTGTGTTGTGTTATTTTGAGGGGACAGCAAATGTACACTGTTATACAAGCTGTACACTCACTACTTTACATTGTAGCAAAGTGTCATTTCTTCAGTGTTGTCACATGAAAAGATATACTCAAATATTTACAAAAATGTGAGGGGTGTACTCACTTTTGTGAGATACTGTATATACCAGAATCTTCCACTTTCAATAAACATAAGCAAGCAATGGCTTGTAAAATGCTTGAACAATCTATGTAGAGAGGTAGCTATATTCTTAGGGGCTGCCAGTAAGCTTAGGGCTAAAAGGCTTAGCTCAGCCCACCTTCGTATTCAGCTTTGATGCGAAGAGTTTCATCTGGTCCTTTGTGTGCTGAGGTGACTCTGAGGTCACAGGGGATTCCGTAGGAGCCACAGGCCTTCCTGATCTTCTCACAGTGGGCCAGGTCAGAGATGGAGCCCATCAGAACCACCACTCTGCCACTGGCCTGGGGCTCCAGCAGCCGCTAGACAAAAACACACTGCCTGTTAGCCTCTACTGAATGCCTGGGATAAACTATTCCACAATGGGCTGTACTTGTACCGTGTCTGTATGTCATTGCATGACAGATTAGAACAAACTGGGTTAAGTTGACAGAGGTTGTGAGTATGCATATCTGAGGTTGCTAGGGTTGATCAAAGACAGAGGTCACAAAAGGTTGAGTGCTGGGATTCACCTGAGAGTCTGATAATGTCTAGGTGATAACACTGGAATGGAACACAATCAACAGACACAACCAGTTAATGTTAAACTACCCGATCCTCAATCATTACGGTATGTTGATTCAACACAAACACCAGTGCTTGTCCTCATGATAACAGATACAGCTGGTCAGCTCAGGCTCTTTTAGGCTAGAGGGCAAAAGGGCACAGGAGTAGTGGGATACACAAGGCTAGCCTACCTTCACTCTTTCAGAAACCCACTCAAAGTTCCTCTTCACCATCTGCATAGCTTCAGGAGTCACCTCCTTTAGGTCCCGGTACACCTGCAGAGGAGAGGAGAGCAAACAGGTTTACACTACAGCTAACGTGGTGGAACTCAAAATCTGAGGTGGTTAAATAATGGCAACATTAGCATTTTTCCATAAAGGGATGGCAGGATAGGAGAATTGGACAGAGCTATGCAGGAGATCACCTCACCTGCTTGTCTTTCTGCTGACTCCGATCTCCCGCTGGCCACAGCCTCCAGGAGTCATTGTCAATCACGTCAGCAAGCACAATCTCTTTAGTGCTCACATTCACGCCAAACTCAATCTGTCAAAAAATATAAAAAAACATTCAAAAGCAATGCAGTTTTAAGGGAAGACAAATTCAAAATGCCCCAACATGACTTCCACATCTAACTAGTAGCACTGTGGTACCTCCCCTGACCAGCAGAGGGTGGCGCAGAGCCGCATACCTTCATGTCTACAAGGGTGCAGTTCTGGGTGGCCCAGGCCCTCTCCAGGACCTCAAAGATGGCAACAGTGCTGCGGTTCATGATGTCCACCTCACAGCGGCCAATGGTGAGCCCAGCCAGAGATAACTTAGTCTCCAGCAGCTGCTCCTCCGACCATTGAGGGTCATTGTTGGCGTCATCCTGAGACAAACACAAATGGTGACCAAGATTTCAGACATTGATGTAAACTGTAAAACACAGCAATATTTGAATGAAGGTGATGAGTTGATGCACCTAACTTTCAATGTTGTCACCTGAGTGGACAATGAATGTGTGCAAATCAAACTGGTAGATTGGATTACGGGAGAGGATATTTTTCTACTGGGCATGATTGGACATAGAAATATACACACACCTTGAAGAACATTTCCATTTTCAGAGGGGAGAACCTGTAGCCCTCCTTGACCCCTGGGTTCCTCTTGAGGAAGGATCCGGTGGCCACCCTCCGACAGACCCACTCGATTGGGATCATCTCACAGTGGGCCGCCACGAACGCAGTCTCCGACTGCTGCCTCACAAAGGCTGTCTTAATGCCTGAGGGATAGGGACACCACAAGGTCTTACTCAGCCATTGATGATTAAACAGATGCACTACTACACGAAGGAAGCCAATTAACAGCCAGTCATATATGCCATTGTCTTAGATGAAGGGGAGGAAACAGGGCTGGGCCACATTCTGTTTGATTAAAAGAAGGGTGTCTGAGTTGCAAGGAATTCATTTCCACGGTTAGGCTTACTCCATTTATTTTAAAATTGCTGCAACATGGAGTTATTTCTGAACAGGTAGTGTTTACTCCCGAGTGGCGCAGTGTTCTAAGGCACTGCATTGCAGTGCTAGCTGTGCCACTAGAGATCCTGGTTCGAATCCAGGCTCTGTCGTAGCTGGCCGCGACCGGGAGACCCATGGGGCGGCGCACAATTGGTCCAGGGTAGGGGAGGGAATGGCCGGCAGGGATGTAGTTCAGTTGGTTGCAACGCCAGGGTTGTGGGTTCGATTCCCACGGGGGGTATGAAAAAATAAATACAAATAATAATAATAATGTATTCACTAACTGTAAGTCGCTCTGGATAAGACCGTCTGCTAAATGACTAAAATGTAAAATGTTTATTAACATACTAGACTATTGTGATTTCAAGGTCAAACAGGAATGCAACATGACCTGGATACTCAGGACAGCTGGCCACTGTGGTCAGTTATGGACAGAACAGTCACTGATAATAGCTGTTTGTTTGCATTCTAGCCTGCGGACGAATCCATTCATGAATGTTGGCACACTTTACTGTCCCAGAGAAGGACAATGTATATTTCTCACAGATCCAAAAAGCTTTCAAATTGATTACAAAACAATCGGATGTTCTCGACACTTGAAAGGATGAGAGGAGGTATGGTGGAGGGCACGTCTAAACGAGTTATCACACGCACCCACACATGTATACCCAAACGAATCATCACATTTACATTTTAGTCATTCGCATTTACTAAGTTAAATCATGAATAATTGAAAACATTGTAGCCTGAAGACTCACCCGCCTCCCGCAGTAGCTTGAAAACACAACTCGTGGTTCTGTTTGCTATCGCGGCCTTGCCCTCCATCTGGTCCTTCCTCGCCGCATTCCCTGCTGTAATTTGGTCCTTGGACTGGACCAAAACATGTCCTGGCTCATCCGCGAGCTCGAAGATCTGCTTGGTCTTTCCCTCATTTAGTTTACGTCCCAGTTTCAGCTCTTCAAAAACAGAAAACGAAGACAAACAGTGAGTAACCCCCAACATTGGTTAATCGGTTTTTACACTAGAAATCCGATTGCATCGTCACTTCAACTATCCATCTGACTTCAAATTACTTGATGCGCCGTTTTGTAACTGAACAAAAAAAGTAATAGGCCTACAAGTTCTACTTTAGTGGAAAACATACCTGATGGAGACGCCATGTTGGAAGATAATTTGCAACCCTGAAAAATAAAGCAAGCAAAAATAGATTAAATCAACACCCAAAATATCGTATTTAGAATTTTCGCAACTTCACCTGCAACCCGTAGAAAAGTCAGTACAGAAAGAGGACTGTGCACTGAGAGAGTTCGTTTTGCATGGCCTGGTTCCCCGGTTGGGCGGAGTTAGTCTATTTTAGACCAGATCAGAGTAATGAAAGCCTCACCACGTGGGGGTGGGGGAATAAACGTTCTGCTACTCATCACTACATATATCAGCGAGACAAGGGCTTATTTGTCAGAAAAGTCGTGTCTTAAAAAAAAAAACGTAGTATCTCTTGAATACTTTCAAATAAATCTCAATGCACCTTTATGACACAAAAACAGGGCGAATGATTGCATATCTTGGACTAGCTGACATTATCAGTCAGCCATAAAATCGATATTTTTTTGCATTTGTAAATTGTAGGCCTAGTACTTTCGCAATTTGCCACAGAGGATTCCGTCTTGTCCGGGGGCTGTCAACTCGAAGTACATTTTAGCGAGTCAATTCAAAGCAAGCATCCCTATTTTTTTGTAGCCCTGTACTAGGTTGAGCCCGTCTGTGTAGACGCTAACTAGCAAGAGGAAGCACACTCTCCCGCTAGCTCTATTGTCAACACGTGGCCAGTGTTTAAGCGTGGAAGTGCGTGCTGCGAGTGTGAAGTACACAAACTCGAGACGCTCAGGGAACTGAAGTATGAGCGAGTTCGAAGAATCTGGCATCGGAGAAGAGTGCGGAGTGTTTGGCTGTGTTGCAGCAGGAGAATGGCCAACACAACTAGAAGTTGCCCAAGTGTTAACTTTGGGACTTATAGCGCTACAGCACAGGTGAGTTGATGTTTTGTAGCTAGCACGTTTACATAGCCATCCGCTAATCACATATTCCGACTATCTTTCCCATAATTGATTATACACTGTTTTATCAAACACTCAACCCTATGGTGCAACTTTCACTGAGAAAATGCATGGTAGGGAGTGGTCAATTTCTCAAAACAACACATGGTGTGACGTCAAACGTTCCATGATCACGGCTTGCTATATTGTACATTGAAGTGTTACTTTGTTTACGGTGAAAGTATGGACATCTCGTCCTTGGATTCCAGACTAGCTCTGATACATTTCTCCAATGGAGACTCAACTCAATATCTTTAGTAAAGGCATTGTGTGCCACAACTTTCAGACTCCTATTGTATACAACAGTCAACTGGTTACAATGACGCCAAAACAATTTTTCACATTTGGACGTGATTAGGCCTACCTGTTTTTCTCGGATTGAGTCAGAGGCTGCCATGGAGCAGACTGAGTTGATCTCTATAATAGGAATGTATTGATCCTCCTCCTCTTTGTACTGTAAATCAATACTCTCAGCACAGCTGCCCCCAGTATCATGTCTTTTCACAGGTCTACGGGTATCTAAAGAAAACAACAACAATGGGTCAATACATCAGAGATTGAGTTACATTTTAGTCATTTAGCAGACGCTCTTATCCAGAGCGATTTACAGTTAGTGAATACATATATTTTTTTTTATACTGGCCCCCCGTGGGAATCAAACCCACAACCCTGGCGTTGCAAACGCCATGCTCTATCAACTGAGCTACAGTCCATGCCGGCCATTCCCTCCCCTACCCTGGACGATGCCGCCCATGAGTCTCCCGGTCGCGGCCGGCTGCGACAGAGCCTGGATTCGAACCAGGATCTCTAGTGGCACAGTTAGCACTGCGATGCAGTGCCTTAGACCACTGCGCCACTCAGGAGTTGAGGGGTTAAATGCCTTTACACGCTTTTTACTGAGTGTAGAAGTCTGTGACACATGGGCTGCGTTCACACAGGCAGCCCAATTCTGATATTTTTCCCACAAATTATTGGATCTGAAAAATATCTGATGTGAAAAGATCAGATGTGATTGGTCAAAAGACGAATTTAGTGGGGGGAAAAATCTGAATTGAGCTGCCTGTGTGAATGCTGCCATGATGTACAAAAGAGGAATCTGCCACAGATTCTTGACCTTGGTCCTCTCAAATTGATTGTGCTGATGTGCTCTGAGAGAATATTTCAAAATGTCTACAAAATAATGTGATCTATTTAGATTGACGACAGATTGTAATCTTTATCTTACTGAAAACACTATTCTACTTTTTGAACACATGAATACACAGAATCCAAATTGCAGTTTTGTAAAGGCCAATGTTTTTGCCTTTTCTCAGCAGTTTGCTTACTCCTTACCAACCCACTCTCTCATGATTTGATTAGGAGACTCATTGGCAATTCACTGGACTGACTCACTCAGTCACACCGTCCATCGTTAGTCTGTTACTGAGCCTTTGGTCACGTGTGGATTTTAAAATTAGATAGGACATTCTCGTGATGTGAGAAACATAATTGTTAAGGGAGGAGGTACAATTTAAACCTTGATCCAAAGCTTTCCTCTTCAGCTCTCTTTTTGCTGTCAGGTCCTCTTTTTTATCCATCTCAGCATTGCCTGTAAGGAACCAATAGGCATATGACAAATCACTGTTAATGCACAATATCAGAACCGCTTTTCCTCCACCAGGTTCTACTGTCTCCAACTACCAGCTTTGGGGCTGATGGGGGGTTCATTTTGAATCTGAGAAATTAGCTTATTATTGTCAACGAAATAGAGATGTGGGATATATCTGAAGATGTAATGGCTTGAGTCAGGTGTTTGCTATCTTTTATAGGGTCACCACTAAATGATTTTGAGTGACCTTAGGTTTATCTACAATGGCTATCTGAGTCACTTTATTACCTGTGTATGTTCGTTTGTCCTCATTCCTGGGGATAACCTCATAGCTTTGAGCTGTGTAAGAGTTAACTGGATGAGTCCTCTCTTCATGTCCCATTCTTGCAGTTGCTCTATCTGACATCATGAAAATGGCATCTTTGCCATCATCATTCCCCATCATGGCCGCCCCAGCCAAAATGGCGCCAGCCTCTGCTTGTTCCTCATATCCCATGGCAGGTCCACTATCTGACCTGGTCAAAATGGCATCCACCTCATCATAGAACCTCATAAGGTGGCGTGGGTCCGTGCCGTCAGCCCTGCCCCTCTGCAGGGAGCGGTACAGGTACTTGAGATTCTTGTATTTGGTGTGACACTGCTTCCAGTCGCGCTCCACCCCCTGCTGCAGTAGCCGGCAGGAGATCTGCACAAATATGTCCCTCTTCCTGGTGGAGCTCTGCAGCTGCCTGCACACGCCCTCTTCAGACCACACCTGGATCAGTGCACGCACCTCCTGGTCACTCCAGTTCCGTCCTGTATCAGACACCGTTACCACATGGAACTGCTCAGAGCTAGACTGGTCCAGTGGTGATATATGGGCTTCTAGTAGGGTGGGAGACAGAATAGTGAGTGGAGTGGGTAATGGGCATAGCTATGACATTTCAGAAGGCATTTCTATTGTAGGTTATTTGATTACACATACCTGATTCCCTTTGATTTTGGTCTGTGTCCAGCTCGTAATCGTCACTATTGTCATCTGAAAGAGACATTGTTCTAGAACTGTAAAAAGTAGAACTAAGACTAGGCAATGTATTCCTCCAGTATCTCATCATTAATTAAAACCTCACCATCAATCTCAATGACCAGGTCTCCTTTAGGTGCTCTAGACTGTGTCTGGCCTCCCAGAGTTTCCAGCCTCCCAGCTCCCTGGTCAACTTCAGGTCCTCTCCTCTGCATATCCTGGTGCCCATCCTTACCATCAAATCCACTGTCCAGCAATATGGCCTCCATCTCGTCGAAGAACTTCATGTACCTTCCTGGGCCACTGCCACTGCTGCCTGCAGCGGCCTGGGCGCTCTTGGCCATCTTGTACTCATACTTGAGGTTCTTGTATTTTGTGCGGCATTGTTTCCAGTTGCGCACCACTCCGAAACCTCTTTGCATGCGGCGGGCCATCTCCTGGAAGATGGCCTTGTTGCGTAGTGTCCCTTTCAGACGCTGCCGGACATGGCGGTCAGACCAGACGCACAGCAGAGCCCGCACCTCCTCATCTGTCCAGTGGCGGCCCCCCTCAGGGCCCATGCATTGTGCATAGGGGAGAGCCCCATGAAGAATCTGACACGGGCCTCCTAAACGAACACAAAAACACTTACATTTTTTAAGTAATGTGAATCAAGGGATACATTTTTGATATTGTCAGTTACAGATACTCAGGTTTATTTAGGTTCAGGGTAATCCTTTTTCTTGGCTACTGGTATGTGACTCCAGTTATGTCTGAGTCAACATCTTCGTCACAAAGTAGCCTCTGAGGCTTCTTATTTAAATGAGGGATAATTTAAAGACTATGCTATTTAGCCTACTGCTGCATATACTAAACAACTTTAGATGTGATCCATTTATTAGGCCTAGTCTATGAAGGTCCACTGTTTTTCTGACGTAATCAGTCGTTATCTTAACAATCCTTCACTCACAGTTAGTGTGTTGGGATGTCGCAGATAGCTTTATTTCATTCCTTCCTATAAACTTCTCCAATTGCTATTTACTGTAATTGTTTCAAAGTTTCCATATACAAATATTTTGTAAGCACTAGTATATTTCTCTCCCATTATCACACTGTTCCTCTAACTCCAAAATTACCTTCCTGCATTGTGACTAAGGAAGAGTGGGCCTCTTTCTCACTGGTCAAATCCTCTTCCTCCAAGTCACTTGGGGTCATTTGGGCGTCCATCATGGCTGCTGCCCCCTGGTTGTAGTTGGTGAATGTGCCTGGCGATTCAGCCTTCCTGGCTTGCAGTCCCAGCCTCCTGCACTGGGCCTGACACTCCCTCCAGTCCCGCAGCACGCTGAGCCCTCTCAGCTGCTCTGAGATGCATTCAAATGCGTCTCTGCTGCTCACGCCTGAATGCTGAGCTGCTCCCAGCTCCCCCCACACTGACAGAAGAGCCAGCACCTCCGCTTCCCCCCACTGCCCTGCTGCTCCTGTCTCCTCCACCTCTACCGTCTCCTCTTCACCTCCTCTTTGTCTCCCTGCTCCTCTCTCCATGTTTGAGCTGACCTGGAAACGCTTCTTTCTCTCCCAGCCCCCCTTCCTCTGCTGCCCGGTTCCCTAGGCAACCAGGCGTTTAAGCCTGAGAGGAACGCCCATGCAGCCTCACTACTGGCTTAAGCTTTGTGATGTGGGGGAGGGACGGACTGTAATCCGAGAAGCAGCTTGGCAAATCGGCTGCAGCGCAAGGCCACTCCATATAAGGCAACTCCACTGCAGATGCACACAACCCCCATTTTTTTTCTCTGGTCTACAACACTTCTCTTTTACCAAAACGGTTTAGTCTGCCCCAAGGCATTATGCATGCAGAAATGCTGGCATCAAACATGTTGCGTCAAGTAGGTTTGCCTGCAAGAGCTTAAAGGACCTCTGTGTCATTGTTGCAAGTGTTTCCACCTCACTAAAACTTTAATTCAAGCAATCTGTTTTGTATTTGTTTTTGTTTACTTAGGGGTCAGGAAAGTGCTGGAATCGTCACAAGCAATGGAGTCAACCCACCAACGTACAACACCCTCAAGGTACAAATGTGTGACTTACAGAACCATTCAGTATGGAAACATGAAAGAGAAACGTCTACAATCCTACTCATTCCAGATTATGAAGATACTCAACTTGTCCTCTGATTTACACCAACATCCCGTCCGTGGCTTCAAACTATGGACAATGCTATCACCCCCCCCCCCCCCCCCCAGAAAAAAATACACACAAACAACAAAACACCTTGTTAAAACCTTTCAATCTGTGGGAGTTTAAGTCCTATTAGTTAACTAAAATCTCAGAAGTACAAGGAGAGAACACACTGTATAGAAATAAGACACTTGTAGCATAAAAACAGGCATGTGATATCATCACTTAAAGCTTTACTAATCACAGTTTGGCTACATTACTTTTCTTCTGAATGCACAGGATTTTAGGAGTGCAAAGTTCAGTGTGTGTGTGTGCCCTAGATGTTCCCTGTCTGGCTATGTGTTAGTGTTATGATTAGCTACGTCTCTTCCCTTCTCAGGGAATGGGGTTAGTGAACAATGCCTTCCCTCCTGAGAACCTTCTGAAGCTGCGCTACGGTAACCTGGGCATTGGGCACACGCGCTACTCCACCACGGGCATCTCTGAGCTCCAGAACTGCCAGCCCTTTGTGGTGGACACACTGCACGGCAAGATCGCTGTGGCACACAACGGGGAGCTGGTCAATGCATCCGCACTGCGTAAGAAGGTGGGCCATGCTGTCATATCCACTGACTGTGTGTGTGTGATTACTGTGTGTTTTTGTATAAGCGTATATTACTGTCTGTGTGTTCTGTGTATGGCAGGTGATGCGTCACGGCGTGGGCCTGTCCACCAGCTCAGACAGTGAGATCATCACCCAGCTGCTGGCTCTGACTCCACCCATGGAGGAGCTGGATGCCCCTGACTGGGTGGCCAGGTCAGTTCTATGACCTTCTATTCCAATAATACCCCATCTCCTTTTACCCCCTGTAACGCTCTTCATCATCTTGATTGATTGTTTTTTCTCGCCATTGCAGGATAAAGAACCTGATGCATGAGACCCCGACATCCTACTCACTGCTGGTGATGTACACAGATGTGATCTATGCTATCCGTGACCCGTATGGAAACAGACCCCTCAGCATTGGGCGCCTCGTCCCCATTTCGAAACTCCACACTACAGGTGTTTTTGGGCCTTCCTTAGCACTGCATGGTATTTTTGTATCTTTGACTTGTGTATTTCGATGAACTAATCTATGAGCAGAGTTACTAATCTATAATCAAATATATTGTCACCCTTGCACTTTGCAATGGAGCAGAGTGTTATGTTTTCTCTTTTCAAAACTGGTTGAATGGCTATTTTTACCCTGTTTGCACCTGCAACTTACCACAGGTAAGATAAATTACACATAAATGAGAATCACTTGTCTCCAACCAAATTAATTAGAATTTTGAATAATTCAGCCCAGGCCATTTTGACTTTGAAGTGAAAAATCTCTATTTCAGTATATATTTTTTATTTTCTTGGTCCTGTGCAGTAGTATTTTTTAAATTTCTACTTATTTTAGAAGAAATAGTGAATCGTGAAAGGGTGCCACTGCCAATATATTGACCAGAACTGTATAAAGAGGTGGAAGAGGATGGATGATTGACAGGCCATATTCTGTCCTCTGTCAGGTGCTGGCGAGAGAGATACAGAGGGCTGGGTGGTGTCATCAGAGTCCTGCAGCTTCCAGTCCATCGGTGCCAAGTGAGCTCTCTCATCACCACGGTTAACATTCTCTTATTGCCATGGCAATGTGTGGTTCTGTGGCTCACAAGCCTCTTTCTGCTCGGTCTGGTCCTCAGGTACTACAGAGAGGTGATGCCTGGAGAGATAGTCCAGATCTCCAAACACGGTGTGAAGTCCCTAAGCATCGTCCCTCGCCCTGAGGGAGACCTCCCTGCATTCTGCATCTTTGAATATGTTTACTTTGCCAGACCAGACTCCATATTTGAAGGTAGGCATATTTAGAAGTTGTCCTAGCTAATAACACTAAAACTGAGTAGTACTAAATCGGTTAGAGTAGTGAAAAGTTTGGCTGGGAGATTACGGCACATTACTTGCTTTTGACCTGATGCCAGAGCAGCTATAGTTTCTTCAGTGTTTCCTCCTGGTGTTGCAGGTCAGATGGTGTACACAGTGAGGCAGCGCTGTGGACGCCAGCTGGCCATTGAGGCCCCTACAGAGGCAGACGTGGTCAGCACTGTGCCCGAGTCTGCTACACCGGCTGCACTGGGATATGCACAACAGGTGAGGCAGCATGGTAAAACACACTGATCAGGTCTTCTACTTCTTCTGTCAGTGTTTTCCATTAGGATTTCTAATGTTGTCGCCTATATGACGTTTGATAAGTTGCATGTCTAGACTATTCTTTCATATTATTTTATGCTGGGCATGTGCTCCTCTTGGGCTTCAGTCTGTACTCTTCTGTTCCGTCTCTGCAGTCGGGACTGCCGTACGTGGAGGTTCTGTGTAAGAATCGATATGTTGGGAGAACGTTTATTCAACCAAACACACGCCTCAGGCAGTTGGGGGTGGCCAAGAAATTTGGGGCACTGACAGACAACTTTACAGGCAAGCGAGTGGTGCTTGTTGATGACTCCATCGTCAGGGGCAACACCATCTCCCCCATAATAAAGCTCTTAAAGGAAGCAGGAGCCACAGAGGTGAGTGGCCCAGAGTTGATCATTATCAGTCCTCTTTATATCAATTATACTGCAGGTAATCGCTCTTGCCTCTTTATAATGGTTGATTACTATACTAAGTCTGGTCTTGCGTTGTCTGTAATGACCACTCATTTTGGTTGCTGACCTCCCTCCTATAGGTCCACATCCGTGTTGCCTCGCCACCCATCAGGTTCCCATGCTACATGGGCATCAATATCCCCACAAAAGAGGAGCTCATCGCTAACAGGCCAGAGTTTGAGGACATTGCTGGCTACATTGGTGAGATTTGGAACGCTTATTGTTAGAAGGCTACAAAGGTCATGTTTTTTGTTTTTGAGGGTAGTGTCCTCTAGATGCACATTTTGATCTGTGACTTAGAGACATGGTTGGCTAACATCAATTTGATTTCTGTTGATGTGTGTGGTGGTCCATACTGTAAAATGTGTTCTGTAGGTGCAACCAGTGTGAGGTATCTGTCGGTTGAGGGCCTGTTGTCAGCGGTGCAGGGGGGAATCCCCTCCCTCCAGGAGAAGGATGAGAGGATCAACACCAATGCCAGCAGGAGAGTGGGCCACTGCACCGCCTGCCTCACAGGCAAATACCCTGTGGAACTGGAGTGGTGACCGCAACCTCACCACTACCTGACCCTTCCCTACAGGTCATCAGAAACAATTGAAGCTGGCTGTGCTACAGCAGTGCCATAGATGACCACAACCAAACCTTTCTCTTGATCACACTACTACTGTTTATTGTACTTAATCATTTGGGGGCATTAATGCTGCCACTCTGGCAACACAATAACCTTATGCATGTCAATGTATTACATTTGAACCCAGCCTTTTCTTTCCACATAAGGTTACATTCTATTGTTACTGAAAACCAACATTTTGTGAGGTGAAAGCAGCTGTGTTCCAAGCCCTTTATCTCATTGGGAGAGAAGTTACAAGTTGCCTTATCAGCTGTAAGACGCACAAGACGTGAAGTGGAAACAACTTGCCTTCAATTCAAATAGCCGAAAACCTTTTAAATAGGTATGCATTTGTATTTTCCGTAAATGCTATGTTTAAAGTAGTTGAATCCTTTTGGTCGCTCTTATTTAGACTATGTACTTTACAGGACGAATAGTGATCAGATTGTTCCTTTCCCAGAACATTTATTTTCTGTTGATCATAAGATTTTCCCTACTGTGATAAACATTCCATAAATATGTAAGAAAATGAAAGCAATTAAGTGATAAAATAAACACGTACAGCCAAAAGGTTTTGAAACAATGTATTTTATTACAATTAAGTCATTCAGTATGTATATTATGCATTCATCCATTCAAAAACAGCTATTATCCCAAGGGGGCACAAAAAAAAGTATGTATATATATGAAATTCACCCAATATTTTAAAAAAGACCTTGTGGGAACATTGTAACATGAGTTAGTTAGTGGGGCGGCAGGTAGCTTAGTGGTTAAGAGCGTTGTGCCAGTAACCGAAAGGTCGCTGGTTCTAATCCCCGAGCCAACTAGGTGAAAAATCTGTCGATGTGCCCTTGAGCAAGGCACTTAACCCTAATTGCTCCTGTAAGTCGCTCTGGATAAGAGCGTCTGCTAAATGACGTAAATGTAATTAGTAATTGGAACATCAGAACTGTTTAAAAGCAGAGATATAAAACAGCAACAGATTTTTTTCAACATTCAGGCATATGAACCACAGGTAGAGGAGCAGGACAGAAGGTAGAGGAGCAGGACAGAACAGCCTTTCTGTGGGTTGACATCATTTATACAGAAGCCGTCTCCTTGAGAAACTGGGGAAAGAAGGGAGGCTGGTTAACATGAGAAAAACAAAATGCATCTTCTATGAAAGATTTCAACAACAATGCAGAACAGACTGGATAAGGTCATGGTTACCTTGGCGAACAACCACATTGGCACTCTGCCTTGACAGGTGACTTTCCTGACGGGAGAAATAGTCTCATCAGAACTAAATACAAATTCACTGCTAAGTGGTCAAAGTTCAGACAATTTAATTTTCCCTGAGAAACAAAGCAGAAACAAACCTTGATGAATCCCAACAAATCGGTTGTATTTCCCTCTCTAGACAGGAGACAGGACCGCAATGTTACAAAATACAAGGAAACAAAATACTGCAGTGTTCTAAAAGTGTTTTTGTTGTCCTGTATGTACATTGTTTCTGTGGAAGACCCTTACACAAGCAGGAGAGGGCTGATCAACATGCAGGCCGGACCAGGATCCTGCAGCTTTTTTGACTGCTGCGTCAGATGAGTGGTGTTGGTGATGGGGGCTGTGGTGGGTCTGAGACAGGCTGGCCTTGAGTGGGCTCCAGGTGTGGGAGTCACAGGAGATGTCCCTCTGGATGGAGGACAAATTGCTGTCTGAGCGATTTTGGCGCCTGATCATTTCTATCCTCTGGCGAAGGGATCCTGGTGAGTACACGCAGGAGTTGTCTCTGAAGCGTTTGGACTCTGGGGACTGTTCCTGGACCAGCTCCCTGCGACGCTTCCTCATGACAGAGTGGTGAGGAGACAGGGCCAGGGCAGCCAGAGCAGAGGAGGAGGGGCCTCTGGTGGTCTCTGCTCTCCTCTCACACATGCGACAGGAGGGGACGGATTTGCCCTGACAGACAAGCTTGTGGTAGAGCTTCTGGAAGTCCTTATCGATCTGCTTAGTGGAGTTCCTTAAGAGACTGATGGATGGGGAGAATGAATCCAGGGAATAGTGTCGCTGGAGCTTTGGCCGACCTGCCCCAGTGGTAGACTCCTGATGGGGGGATCGAGATGAGTGGAGTTTCAGCTGGGAGGGACTACAGGCGTCCAGGTGGTGGAGCTTCCTGGGTGACATCAGAGGCCTCTGAAAAGAGGAGGGTAAAAATGTAGGGGAAGATCTGGGTTCCACCATCACCTTGTTTCTCTGATGATATCCAGCAACGCCTGACTTGAGGCTTCTATGGTGGGCGTTAGGAGATGCATGCTGGCCTTCCCAGCTCATCAGTCTGTCTCTGTAGGGACTCTGTGCTGCTGAGGAGCAGTAGACTGACCTCTCTGTGTCTGAAGACATGTCCATACTGACCACAGGGCGTACTGCTGTGAAAAACCTCTGACTGGGGACTGTGGGGCGGGCACACCTCAGAGGTGGGCTGCTCAACCCTCCTGCTGTGGAGGGGCCTTCAGATCTGGCAGGACTGAAGACAAGGGTAGTATACCTAACCCTGGTGGGTGGGGAAGAGGACATGGACACTGTGAAGGTTTGGTTTAGGGGGGCCTCATTTGGCTCAGGGCTCTCCTGTAGGGAGGAGGGAGCGGAGGAGACTGCAGAGGAGGGAGGGGAGGAGACTGAAGAGGAGGGAGTGGAGGAGGGAGCAGAGACAGGGGAGGAGGCAGGACTGGAGCCTGCAGAGGAAGGACAAGAGGAGAAGTCCATCAGTAGAAAAGGGCGGGATGGTTGTCTGTCCCCTGAATCTGTCCCCTTACTCGGTGACTGGCTCTCTGCTGGCCACTCCTGGAGGTTGACCTTGGTCTGTGGAGGAGGATGGGTGCTGGTTGTCCTTTTGAGGTTAAACTTTGGACTCTTGGGGTTACTCACATTCGTAGAGGTGTTCTGAGAAGTTTGGAGTATGGATTGGCCATTGTTGAGGGCAGTCTTTCTGTGAGCTGGTCTCAGGGTGCTGTTGAAGGTGCGGTTATTGAGGTTTCTGTTAGACGACCACCTGAGTCTGTGGTACCTCCTCAGCACCCCTACAGCCGCGTCGGACATATGCTGGCGCCGCCAGGCCTCTCCTATCTGACTGAGCATGCTGGGATACAGCTCCTGTAGAGTGCTACGTTGACTGCTCAGAGAGCGCTCCAGCTCCTCATCCTGCTCCTCTGGCGCCCCCCACAGGCTACTTCTAGTCCCATTCAGCTTTGAATTATCCACCCCTGATGGAGGCAATATAAATCAAATTTATTCATCAGAAATGTCTAAATGATAATTAAAAATAGTGCTGCAGTTGTATTTCATGTTAAAATGCTCAATATAGTATACATTCATAAGTCACTAGGGTTTATGTCGAAATAATTAACTTACAGTGGCTGTTCTCTGCAGCCTGCTGCATAACAGAATCATTACTGGGGACAGTGACAGCACTCGCATCTACAGCACCCTCATCTACACAATCATTGTTGGCATCATCCTGGTGGTATGAGATGTCCATCTGTTGAAAAACATGAGAAGTACAGTAAGATTATTTTTTTTGCCATGGGGTTTTGTACTGTGTATTTAAATACACTGCTCAAAAAAATAAAGGGAACATTTAAACAACACAATGTAACTCCAAGTCAATCACACTTCTGTGAAATCAAACTGTCCACTTAGGAAGCAACACTGATTGACAATACATTTCACATGCTGTTGTGCAAATGGAATAGACAACAGGTGGAAATTATAGGCAATTAGCAAGACACACCCAATAAAGGACTGGTTTTGCAGGTGGTGACCACAGACCACTTCTCAGTTCCTATGCTTCCTGGCTGATGTTTTGGTCACTTTTGAATGCTGGCGGTGCTTTCACTCTAGTGGTAGCATGAGACGGAGTCTACAACCCACACAAGTGGCTCAGGTAGTGCAGCTCATCCAGGATGGCACATCAATGCGAGCTGTGGCAAGAAGGTTTGCGGTGTCTGTCAGCGTAGTGTCCAGAGCATGGAGGCGCTACCAGGAGACAGGCCAGTACATCAGGAGACGTGGAGGAGGCCGTAGGAGGGCAACAACCCAGCAGCAGGACTGCTACCTCCGCCTTTGTGCAAGGAGGAGCAGGAGGAGCACTGCCAGAGCCCTGCAAAATGAACTCCAGCAGGCCACAAATGTGCATGTGTCTGCTCAAACGGTCAGAAACAGACTCCATGAGGGTGGTATGAGGGCCCGACGTCCACAGGTGGGGGTTGTGCTTACAGCCCAACACCGTGCAGGACGTTTGGCATTTGCCAGAGAACACCAAGATTGGCAAATTCGCCACTGGCGCCCTGTGCTCTTCACAGATGAAAGCAGGTTCACACTGAGCACGTGACAGAGTCTGGAGACGCCGTGGAGAACGTTCTGCTGCCTGCAACATCCTCCAGCATGACCGGTTTGGCGGTGGGTCAGTCATGGTGTGGGATGGCATTTCTTTGGGGGGGCCGCACAGCCCTCCATGTGCTCGCCAGAGGTAGCCTGACTGCCATTAGGTACCGAGATGAGATCCTCAGACCCCTTGTGAGACCATATGCTGGTGCGGTTGGCCCTGGGTTCCTCCTAATGCAAGACAATGCTAGACCTCATGTGGCTGGAGTGTGTCAGCAGTTCCTGCAAGAGGAAGGCATTGATGCTATGGACTGGCCCGCCCGTTCCCCAGACCTGAATCCAATTGAGCACATCTGGGACATCATGTCTCGCTCCATCCACCAATGCCACGTTGCACCACAGACTGTCCAGGAGTTGGCGGATGCTTTAGTCCAGGTCTGGGAGGAGATCCCTCAGGAGACCATCCGCCACCTCATCAGGAGCATGCCCAGGCGTTGTAGGGAGGTCATACAGGCACGTGGAGGCCACACACACTACTGAGCCTCATTCTGACTTGTTTTAAGGACATTACATCAAAGTTGGATCAGCCTGTAGTGTGGTTTTCCACTTTAATTTTGAGGGTGACTCCAAATCCAGACCTCCATGGGTTGATACATTTGATTTCCATTGATAATTTGTGTGATTTTGTTGTCAGCACATTCAACTATGTAAAGAAAAAAGTATTTAATAAGATTATTTCATTCATTCAGATCTAGGATGTGTTATTTTAGTGTTCCCTTAATTTTTTTGAGCAGTGTACTATTCTCGACATAGCTCATTCTATTATTTCTACTACTATAACATTGCATTTTAGTTACACTTCTTATACACACCACATATGTATTTATATACTGGATTCTTGACATATCTGGATTACTGTTATAGTGCTATTTGGGTTAATTGGATTCATTCTGACGTTTCAAGATTTTTGATGTATTGATTATTTGCTTACTTGTTGACATTTTACTGCATTGTTAGGAGCTAGTAACATAAGCATTTTGTGGCACCCGCTATAACATCTGCTAAACGGTCCGCAACCAACAGACTGATTTGATGCTATAGTAATGTGGACCGTTAACATCTGGTTGGACTCTAGTCTCCAAACAGACAGATCTGTTCTGCCCACATTCAGTTGTCTTCATGTGTATGTCATTACTCAGTAGATTGGGAGAACTCCAATTAGATTAAGTAAAAGTAATTTACCTTGAAGTCTCTAGTGGTGTCATGTGGCCTGTGTATTTCTGAAATATCTGAAATAACAAAATATATAACAATATACATTTAGATCAATTTAACAATTAAGTGCAAGTGCACATCTTACAGAGAAACAATGTGTTGTAGTTCCCTACCTCCTAGTGACAGCTCTTCCAGGCCAGCATCACTCTAAAGAGAAGGTGGATTAAGAGGTGCGAGTGTAATCGAGAAAAATAAGAGATTCCTCCGAAAAATGTAAAAAGTCAACAAACAGAAAATGTACAAAGTGGGTCTAAAATAATTAGCTACAGATAACATACAAACCTTTGACAATCTCAGTTTTGACAGCTCCAACTCTGACTTGAACATGCATCGGCTCACCTCTTCTCCATCCAATGACAGGATACATGAAAAAACAAGAAACATCAGGACATGGAGCCAATTCTTTTGAGTCCTGAAGGTTTACCCATAAACATAAAACTGGCTACTTGTTGTTGACAAGACTAAACAATTATTCTTCAAGCACTGAAAAGCAGATCATGCGTGTGAACGTCCACAGTGCAACCATAAATAGACTTTTGTTTACCTTTGGGTGTTATGTCCTCCAGATTCACCTCAGTCCCATCGTCATGCAGCTTTGAATACTGTTGAGTAAGAAAGAGTAAATACAGGCACATTCGGATGTTTAATCTCTGGTACATGCCTAGTAGTACTGAGTGACATTGAGGAGGTGTGTGCATTGTTGGTGCATTTCGTCCCGTGGCCACAAGGGGAACGTTGGTGAGAAAGACTAGCTACTACCAAAGAGAGTCGCTATATACGGTTTGAAAACTGCGCCTCTGCTCTGTGCTGCTACTACTAGCTCGTTGGCTAACACCAAAGAGGGTGTCTTTGCTAACATTGATTATCTTACAAAATCGTCAGAAGAATACTGTCTACAAAGTTAGCAAGTTTCTAGTTACCATCACGGCAGAGTTGCAAGTTAGCCAACTAACGTTAGCAAGCTAGCCAACGTTAGCTAAACTAGCTAACGTTAGCTAGCTACCAGTCCATTTTCCACCTACCTTCTGAACGATTCGCTCCAGATTATCAGTGTAAATCTTGGCATTGCTCTGAAGCTTATTTTTGACGAAGTCGTCCATGTTGTCAGACAAAGTCTTTATCAATTAAAACACTAAAATGAAAGCCTTTTTATTCCCCTCATGTGTTTGCTTCTCTCCGGGTCAAGGGTTCTGACCTGAGTACAGCTACGACCGAAAGTAGCGTTTTCGTAGCACGTTACAATAATTTACACAGCAGGTTAGGAGACAGGTTAATGTTAGGAAAATGTTTAGGTTTTAGAGTTAGCTAAATTGCTCTCCTAACCTGCTACAAAAAGTCACTTCCGGTAGCTGTACTCCATCTTGTCACGAGCGCGACAAAATAATGAAATATGATTGGATAATTCGCTATGAGACGCATTTTTTTCCTACATGCTGGTATGTCATCTTCATGCGACAAAACATCTACCAGTCAGCAACAAAATCAGTACTTCTTTAAAGTATCTATGTAATATGAATTTGATAGTGAATATTTTACATTTTCCGTGTTCACCGTGAGATGGCAACGAAAACGCTACAAGACATGGTGCTCGCAGCCGCCTCTTTGCATAGTGGCAAAATAGCTGTCACATTTGACAGGGGGATAACAGAAGGAGGTCCTGTGTTGCTTTATTACAACGAACTTGTTGCTCTTGGAAAGGAATTAACACTTATTCTACAGATACAGTGTGTGCAAAATACAAGCGCAATTGCATTATATTGTCAGCCAGATGTCAATCTTCCAGTGTGGATTCTGGGGTAAGTTTATTATTAGAAATCAAAGCTATCTTATCTGGGATATTCACTCAGTATTCAGAGAGCAATTGTCTGTTTATACAATAGATGATCTGGAACAGCACCATCCAATTAGACCAAATTAGCCCCATCTCTTTTAATGGGGTGCAGATAACTAATGACTCTCAACTGGGGGTCCATCCATTTGATCAGCTGTTGCATACCATAGATTAGTATTACCCAAGTCTGCTGTAAATTCTAGGCTTGGACTACTGTAAACACAGCTCTCAAGGTGATCCTCTGTCTGTCAGCATCCTCCAGTTACCTGCTGCATATGTACCACTGGACCCAGACGCCCCAGCACTCTTGTCTGCCCGTGTCATGAAGCGGTGTGGGCTGAGGTACTGTGTTCTACAGAGTGACCTGTTGCAGGTAAAAGAGTGGACTTCACGGAACATTATGAGAGTGGTTTATATTATGAGAGTGGTTTATATTATAATTATGATCCTCTGTAGCTCAATTGGTAGAGCATGGCGCTTGTAACGCCAGGGTAGTGGGTTCGATCCCCGGGACCACCCATACGTAAAATTGTATGCACACATGACTGTAAGTCGCTTTGGATAAAAGCGTCTGCTAAATGGCATATTATATTATATTATAACTGTGGCTTAAAATTATGATTACTTAATAATTAGTACTAATTAGGTTTCACCTTCTGGCTATTTTACTCTATCTTTCTCTCTCTTTCCCTAGCAATTCCAGATGGCATTTTCCAACCTCATGTCTATAGAGGTGTGTGCAGTGTGGTCTGCTCACAACCTAACCCTCGTACTAGTACAGCATAGACCAACTGCAGCCCCCAAAGAGGAGCCGAATGCCGATATTTTTACTCCTGCTGCAGTGCCAGAGAGTGCCGGCCAGGGGGCACTGGCGTATATATTACACACATCTGGAACAACAGGGCTTCCCAAGACTGTGAGGGTACCACACAAGTGTATAGTGCCCAATATACTGCACCTCCGGTATGTCCCTTTGGTTGCATTGGTGTCATGCATGTATTCTTGTATCGCAATGTCCATATCACTGGTTATATTGAAAGTCAAGAATGTAATTTAATGTTGTTTGTTAAACAGCATTCTGTCTTTATCTCTTCAGATCTCTGTTTCAGATGACACCAGATGATGTGGTGTTCCTGGCCTCTCCCCTGACTTTTGACCCTTCAGTGGTGGAGATATTTTTGGCGTTGTCATCAGGGGCACGTCTCCTCATCGTCCCCACTGTGATTAAGAGAATGCCCAACAGACTGGCTCATGTGCTGTTTAAGAAACACAAGACGACCGTCTTACAGGTAAATATGACAGTGGGATGAGAGTAACTTATCAAGCCTTTTGTTGCTGTTGTTGCATGTGCTGATTTTGTGTCTCCCTCAGGTGACTCCCACTCTGCTTGGGCGTTTTGGCAGGCGTGTCCTACAGGAAGAAGTCCTCTCTGCTGGCTCTTCTCTGCGTGTGTTAGCCCTAGGGGGTGAAGCCTGTCCCTCCCTAGCCCTGCTCCGTAGCTGGAGGCAGCAGGGAAACTGCACTCACATCTACAACATCTATGGCATCACTGAGGTATCCTGCTGGGCCTGCTGCTACCACTTACCAGAGAGCCTCCTGCAGTCTACTGATGTGTGAGTGACCGCTGAACCCTAAAACCCTGAGTATGGCATCCAACTGCTGCCTAAACCAGCACCTCAATTTATGAACCTTTTATCTCTGCACACTGGACATATAATTGATTTTACTCTGATATTGTTTACCGGTATGTATATCTCACAGGACTGAATCCTCTTTGCCGCTGGGTCCTCCTCTGATGGAGACCACCGTGGAGCTAAGAGATGAGGATGGCTGCGTCATCACTCAGGGGGAAGGACAGGTGTTTATAGGTGGGATGGACAGGGTGTGCCTTCTAGACGATGAGGTGACTGTTGCTCCTGGTACAATGCGGTCTACAGGAGACTGGGTGCAGATTAGAGACACACATCTTTACTACCTCGGGAGGCGGGACCGACTGGTCAAACGCCATGGACAGCGGCTGCATCTGGACACCTTACAGCAAGTCGGTACCATTTCAGACAGCATGTCATGTCAAGCTCATATCACCAATTTTCCTGTGGTATCCCCACCTCCATTAATTGATCTTTCAGTCCTCCATATCCCCCTTCAGGTTGTAATGAGTCTACCCCAGGTGGAGGCCTGTGCTGTGGGTCTGTATGAGGGGTCTCGGCTGGTGGCCTTTGTCGTAGTCTGCTCTACGTCTGGAGAACAAAATGCAACCCATACCCCCTCCCCCGTAGAGCACCAGGTAGAGCATCGTGAAGAGACTGCACCCTCAACTAGAAGCCTACAGAAGGCCATCCTACACAGGTTGTCTCAGCTCCTACCCAGTCACAGTGTTCCAGACACACTAGTCCTGGTCCCGGCCCTACCACTATCCTCACATGGTGAGTGACACTGTCCTCTGTAGCTGAACATCGCTAGACTCTACTGTAAATGCTGCATTCTAAACATTTTCTATCAGGATTTACCGTTCATTTTTGACCATGGCAGTATCTGGAGTCTTGTGTAAATTAAACGTTGTTTCTTCAGGGAAAGTGTCTATGGGTGAACTTATGAAGATCTACCAGAGACAGAGAGCAGGTTCAGAGTCCCATAGTGCACTGGGGGACATGGAGACACTGAGAGAGACACTCCAGTCTCTGTGGAGGGTACAGACAAGCCATTATATTGTTTTATTATTGTCACATACAAGTCAGTATCCCTTTCACATCGAGTTTACATATTTGTACATGTATATTTGTGTATGTCAGGAGACTTTAGGTCTGACGGAGGATGAAGCCATCCAGGAGGACTCCAACTTCCTGTTTAGTGGAGGCGATTCCCTGCAGGCCCTGCGTCTCTGTGATGACATCACCACCGCCGTAGAAGTGACCTCATCAGGGCTTCTGGAGGTTATCCTGGACGGATCCTTCTCACAAGTACTGTGCCATGTTGCCACAGCAACACTGACTCTCCCATCTGAGCACAGCTGGACATCCCATCCTGTGGCCATGAAACGCCCAGCAGACCCTCTCTCCTCAGCACAGCCCAAGAGACAGCATACAGACCCCTACTCTACAACAACTGCAGAATGGCCTCTGGGAGTTGTAGTTTCTTCTATGAGGAAGGCTGTAAGATGTACAGTGTTAAGGAGAGCAGGGGAGGTTGTAGAGATGGGTCAGCCAGACTCTTTGAGGACCAATGAAAACTCCCACTCAGACTCAGAGGGACCAATCAAAAGACCAAGAAATACACAGGAAAAAGGAGCCAATGAGAGTACAGAATCCAACCACTCCCAGACATTTGGATCCAATAAGAGGACAGAACACAACCATTCCAAGGCAGTGGAAACCAATGAGCCCAGTGCTAGCAGTGTTACCCCTCCCCCAGGTCTGGGGCTGAGGGTGAGCTGGGAGTCAGACACAGGGAGGTGTGTAGACGCCTCTCCAGTCCTGCTAGTCCAGAGAGGAGCGGACGGGGCCTCAGGAGGCCCCAGGGCCACAGTGTTCATTGGCTCCCACTCCCACAGGATGCAGGCCCTGGACCTGACCACCGGGGAGCTGCTGTGGGAGAGGGTCTTGGGGGACAGGATCGAGTCCTCCTCTGCTGTGTCCCGATGTGGAAGACTCGTCGTGGTTGGTCAGTATCCACATAAAGTATCACTTTTTTGGTTATGTTAAATTGTTTAGTCTATTCTACAGTGTATTTTGAGGGTCTATGTTGTGTGTTTATTCTCAGGGTGCTATGATGGTGGTGTGTATTTCCTGTGTGTGGAGTCTGGGGAGACGCAGTGGGTGTTTGAGACAGGAGACACAGTGAAGAGCTGTCCTACTGTGGACCCCCTCACAGGCCTAGTGATGGTGGGGTCGCATGATGGCCACATCTATGCCCTTGACCCACAGGTGTGTGTCTGTGTATGTGCATACCTTTCTTTCTAGTGTAAATCTTGCATCACATGCTCAATACTGTATAATTATGTGTTTTTGTGTGTATTCTAGGTTCAGCAGTGTGTGTGGAAGCATCACTGTGGGTGTGGGGCGGTGTTCTCCTCACCCTGTCTCCACCCCTCTCTCAGGCAGCTATATGTGGCCACCCTCGGAGGACACCTCCTCTGTCTCAATCCTGTGAGTGTCCATGCCTCCTTGCCTGCACAAATCACACTTAGTAGTAATACATGCACTTGTTAACTGACATGGCTCAGAAGCACTAGCACTGTTTGAGTGAGGACAACCGACTGACTCAATGTTCTTCTGTTAGGACACTGGTACTGTCCTGTGGACATATTCCAGGAAGACTCCATTTTTCTCCTCCCCAAACTGCTCCTCAGGTCACATCATCATCGGCTCTGTGGATGGAAACATCTGCTGCTTCAGCCACACAGGGGAAATGGTGAGAGGAAGAACTGGCACTAAGATAATGTCAGTTTAGCCTTCTCTTTATCATCTTCACCAAGTAACCATTGATAATATTTCTCACTAAAGTGTTTCATCTGTGTTAATACTGTGTGCTTGCTGCAGCTCTGGCAGTATGTGACCGATGGACCGGTCTTCTCATCCCCCTGCATCACACCAGACAAGCAGAGGGTTGTGTGTGGGTCACATGACGGGTGTGTGTACTGTCTGAACTGTACTGACGGCTCATTGGTGTGGCGCTATCAGACCCCCAGCAGGGTGTACTCCAGCCCCTGTGTGTTTGAGGTGTCAGCCTGGGGTATGGAGGGTACACTGGTGGTCCTGGCCTCCACAGACGGGACCCTGTGCGTTCTGGACGGAGAGGATGGGACCCTGAAAGCCTCTCTCTCTCTGCTTGGGGAGCTGTTCTCCTCTCCTGTGGTGTGGGAGCGCTCCGTGGTGGTGGGATGTCGCAATGACTTTGTGTATTGTGTGGCGCTGACAGGGGAGCTGAAATAGATTCCTGAGATGAGATATGATATCGTGTTTTTGTACAGTCTTATAATATTAAAGAATAACATGGGAAACAAATGTGTGTAAGTGTTGACACTCATTTGAAGGAGGAATATGACTCAAGGCTTTGAGTTCAGACAGTATTTAATTCATAACATTTGCGTCTCTTTAAGATGTTCTCATGAATACCCTTTAAGTGGGACAAAAAAGTGCAATTATTACCAAACCATTTTGTTACATACAACACTGTGTACACTACACTATTGCACACAACCAAAGTTAAACAAAAATGCCAAAGTGACTGAGCCTTAGGGGCCTCTTTTTGACCAACGTCCTGGTAAAACCGCCTCGAACAACATACATACAGCTCTTTACATTGAGTAGAGAGCAAGGTAGTGATGGGAGAAATATCCATAGGATGTCCGTCATCAACAGACAGCCCAGCAGATGTTCTCAGAGCAAGGCTGGTTGGTTCACATGACATTGAGGAAAATGAAGAGGATGTGATATAGCTTTAGCTTATCCCAAGATGGGATTCACAGAATGTGACTTTCCAAATGCTGGAGGAGAATGTAAAGGCCTTATTATAGATCATCACATTAGTGGTGACTCGAGCACAAGGGAGAATATATGTTACAGCAGGTAGTTTCTCTTTCCATAGCAAAGCAAAATACAGGACACAATTAGAGTGGTAAGAATACTGTGCAATTCACAACCGCCTGACACTGGTCTTTAATGATGTGTTTCAGTGCAGTCGACATTTGATTATGACAGATCTAGTGTTATTTTACAAACTGCGGTGAGATTCAAACAACTTTGTCATGGCAATGTATTTTTTACAATATAGCATCTTTGACAGCTGTCACAGTCATCACGGACACAGTGAGAATAGTTATACACTAAGTACTGCTTTCGAATACAAGTAAAAAAGAAGCTTCTTCTGTACATCGCAGACAAGGCTCAGAGATGACAAATATATTGTTTCAACATTGTTAAAACCAGTGCTTGAAATAACCCCCACGAGATAATGAAATATTTTTGATCATCTGTCATGTTGGGTTATTGGCTACTGGTAGCCCTTAAAACACTCTTCCCAAAGTACCCTTGAATGAAGAATCTTTATCATTTTTCAGACCTGTGGGACTCAGCTTTCCACTACATAGCATTTTTATCTTGTATTATGTTTAGTGCATGATCTATTTACAGCTGTGGTGCTTTGATTGGCTACTGAAGGGAAGGAAGGGTTGGGATTGGCAATTGCAATGGCCATGATTGGCTGCTGTAGGATCTTTTGACTTGTTGGAAGATATTATATAGTTGATAGTATACAGCCAGGTAATCTTGAAAAAAAATTGAGTTTGTGTTCATGTGTTCGTATAAGTGCATGCTTGAACTGAGTGTTCATGTTTGTAAATGTGTGATTATATTTATATTATGAATGTGAAACACTTTTGACAATCATACAAGTGCATGGTTATTGTGGCATGGGAGGAGAATGACTTGGTCTGGGGGCTGAGGTTAGAATGCAGGGACAGATCAGGTGCAGAGCAGAGAGGTCAGGGGTTGGTTTGGGACAGGGGTCATAGTTCATGGGCAGTGTGTGTGTACAGTACTGATGCAGTGTAGAGGTTAGAGAGGAGGTTATTTGATGATCTGAGGGCAGTCACTCCAGGCTTTAGCCTTGCGCTTGGCCAGAGCCAGCCAGGCCGGCTCAGTGGACACCTGGGGAGAGTCATTGGACAGGAAGCGCTTGGTCAACTCCTTCACTGCAGGGGGTGATGGAGTGGAGTCTGCAATCTCAACTGGAACACAAGACCCAGAGAGAAAGGGATTTATAATGCACGCCGAGGACACCATAAAAGTGTAGTAATCCATGCAATTTATAAAACAGATTGGTTTGATTATGATGATCCAGATGTAATAGAATCATGTTTCATATGTGAGATATCCTAACTGTTTGATCTGATCTTGGGAAAGTGTGATGTCAAACAGTTGTGAATATGCAAGCTCTTACCTGTGACAGAGCTGGGCAGGGTGTTGGCTTTCTTCAGGAGGTCCCGGCGCTCTAAGCGGCCCAGGAGGGTGTCTGGTCTCTTGGCCTCCTCCGGTGTTTGTGGTTTGGGAGGGCTGGTGTTTCCACTCCCCTTACCCTCCATAGGACTAAGCAACACACCCTATGAAACACAGTTACCTTTCAGCTGTGCTCGCCTACTGTTCTGAGTACAGGTGACTAGTGAGAACATGCATGTCTTTCCCTACATAAGCATATGTGTGTCTATGTATGTAAGGTAATGGCATTAATGTATGTTAAAGTGCAGTAACATACGCTGTCTTTGTCCTTGGCTTGTTTGTCAGGCAGTTTGGCCTCTCTGTGGCTGCGGCGTTGGTCTCGGCTCTGCTGCTGCTCCCTGAAGCCTTTCTGTTTCTGCAACGCCAGCGTGATCCACAGAGGACCCAACTCCTTGTCCTGGACCCGCGCACTGTCCAACGAGTGCCTGCTCTGTAGTGATGGCTTCCCCTCTGTAAGGGGCGAGACAACTATCATATACTGGGACATACACACAAAATCACTCAAGTAATTAAAATGCAGGAGTGACATTCCTACTCGCTTAAAAAAATCTATCCATCAAATCTCTGTCTCGGAGATTGATGCACTAGCAGCACAGGCGTGTCCCAAGGTGACACTGACCTCTCCTGATGAGCTCCGTCTTCCTGTCAGCCTTCTCCCTCCAGGGGATACTGATGGAGGGGAAGAAGGACCTCTTCTCCTTGGGCTCCTCCTCCCCCTGGCCCTGGCTCTGTCCCTGGCCGTTCCTGTGGAGCTGGGCCACAGCTGATGTCTCCTCCCTCCTCCTCTCACCTCGCTCCTCATGGCCAACTGAATCAGCCCCCACCCAGCTCCTCTGGACCACTACGTCACTGGGACTCCCTCTGCCCACTTTGGGGAGCGGAGAGGGGGGAGGGGTTGCAGGTTTAGGGGATGTGCTGGGTCTCTGGTAGAGTGAGGGTTTGGACAGCAGCTTCTCCCCCTCGCTGTGCATGGAAGGGGTGGGAGACTTGCCTGCTTTGGCCCGTGGCTCTGAAAGAGATACAATCACATGTCCAGGCTTGACCCCAGTAATGCTCTCTCTGAGTGGAGACGCAGGGCTGGACCTATTAGAGAACACTGAGGCGTCAGAGTCAGGGTCAATGGGGGTCAGAGGTGAGGGGACCCCGTCGAAGCTGTCGCCGGCACTGTACCTCTTCTTCCTCTTGTCTGTCGACTGATCACTGTGGAAGCGGAGGGAGTAGTTGGTCCTCCTCAGCTTGATCCCAAACGGAGATGGCTGGCCCTTCTCCTCCCCCTCCTCCCGGCCATCAAAGTCCTCTGATTCTCCTCCCAGGCTCCCAGAATCTGTCTCAGAGCCCTCGGGTCTGGGGGAGCCCTGGGAAGAGCTGGGGACTATGAAAGATGGGAGGTCTTTGGCAAACATGCACTCCCCTGTTCCGTCTGCAATCCGGACAGTCTTACCGCCCCGGCTCTGGGCCTTGCTGCCTGGGGCCGGTGAAGCTGCAGGGGGAACAGAGGTGCTGAAGAAGGTGTCGGAGAGAGCAAACGCTGGCCTTCCTCCTTCCTTCTCTTCCGGACTCAACACCTCAGAGTTCCTGTTGGAGTCGGCAAACTTCTTCCTGGCCGGGGTGATGGAGAACTTGGCGCTGGCGGACATGGTCTTCCTGAGGTTGCTATGAGGGAACGGACTCTGGTCCTCACTGCTGGGTCGGCTCTGGCTCTGGGGGTGTGGGTATTCCTCATACTTCCCCTCCTCCGCCCCCTTGAATATCTTGGAGCGGATACTGGCCCACTCTGCAAGGACGGCTGCACTGGACTGGTCTGTGGACTCGCTGAGGGATTTGGTTTTCCCAGACTTGCGGTCTGGTGATGTCTTGCTCTTGGTTGATGGTGGGGTGCCCATGGCAGCTTTCTTTTCATCAGCCAGACCCAGGAGAGACTTACAAGCGGTTTCTTTGATATGGTCCAGGTTGACAGCAGTCCCACAGAGCTGGGCACCCGTCACCAGGATGGCTGTGTGGGGGACATACTGAGAGGACGGGAGGGTGGGGGAGTCAGCTCCTCCAGGGGACGAGGCCTTGGCTCCCTCTCTGTGTTCAGCCACAGTGCCCCTCTGCTGGCTGGAGGCCGGCGTAACAGGCGTCAGATTGACCTTCTGGAACAGGATCTGCTTCTCCCCAGAGGACACTTTGAAGGTGAACGGCCTCTGTCTCTCCTCCATCTCTCTCCAGCGCACCTCCTCCGCCCTCCTCTTCCTCTCAGGGTCAGAGCTGCTCGCAGCCACTTCTGCACACAGTCTTTTCTCCTCCTCCTCCTCTGCAAGCAGTTTTCTTTTTTCTTCCACCTGCTTTTTCTTCCTTTCCTCCTCTTCTTCTGCCTCTTTCAGTCTCTTTTCCTCCTCTACACGGAGACACTCTGCCTCCAGTTCGCGCTGCTTCCTCTCCTCTTCCTCTTTCGTCCTTCTTTCCTCTTCCTCTTTCTTCCTTTTCTCTTCCTCCAGTGTCCTCTCCTCCTCCTCTTGCTGCATAAGCTCCAATTCCTCCCTCATCCTTCTCTCTTCTTCTCTCTGCATCCTCTCTTCTTCCTCTCTAATTCTCATCTCCTCCAGCTCTCTCTGCCTAGTTTCCTCCTCCTCCCTAATCCTCCTTTCCTCTTCTTCTTTCATCCTCCTCTCCATCTCCTCTCTCTGCCTCCTTTCCTCCTCATCTTTACGTATAAGTTCCTCCTCTTGTTGGCGACATCTCTCCTCTTCTAACTCACGCATCCTCCACTCCTCTGCTTTCTTCTTCCTATCCTCTTCTTCCTCTCTGTGCCTTTGTTCTGCCAGCTCTCTATTCCTCCTGGACTCCTGTCTCTCGTCCTCCTGCAGTTTCTGCTTCTTGGTTTTCTCTGGGGGTGTCTCTTCCTCAGCGGTCCTGTATTGGACGTCGGCTGCATCTGTCTCCTCCTGCAGTATGCCAGGGATATCCACCTCTTGCAAATCCTGGAAAAAGTATGTATTTTGATTTCTATTGTTGAGCGCCATCTCACTCTATTCCATCTATATGACAGTTCTATGCATGCACATTCATACCAAAGAAAGACCACCAACTGTAAGGAACTTCTCACCTGTGTGAATCGGCGGTGCTTGCGGGAGATCCTCTGGTTTTTGGGTTTGACAGACAGCTTATGCTTGGCAGCGGTGTTGTCCAGTCTAGGGACAGACTGTGGGACTCCGTCCAGGTCGATGGACTCGATGGTGCCGGTGGCTGGAAGAACTCGTTTGGACCTAGGAGATTTCACTGGAGTACTGGGAGTCCCGGCCTGGGGAGCTCCTTGGCTCTGGCTGGGCCCTTGGCTCTGGCTGGCCCCCTGGTTGTCATGGAAACAATACATTGTCAATCTCTTCCTATATTTCCAACACTAATTCTTTGGGTTACTACTGTAGAATTATAAGCTAACAGTGAACCAAAGAGTATGCAATTAGTATGTATAACAATAGTGCCCAGTCTGCCATTAATAATCCTGCCATTACCTTTGGCTCTGTGTCCACTGGCTCAGCCTCCACCTGGGCTAAGACCTTCAGGGGGCTCCTGGGTACCTCCTCTTCATCTGAGCTGCCCCCGTCTCCCTCACTCTTCCTCAGAGAGGGGGGCCTCTGGCCAAACTTGATATTCTGTGCTATCTGCCTCTGCTCATTCAACACGTACACACACATTTTGGGTTTGGTGTTAGACATTGACGAGAGCAGTAACGCTAAAGTGTCTGTTAGAGTGTAATTGATTGTAATCTGGGGCAATGGTTGACATACATCTGACTGTGAACACACATCTGACTATGTGTGTGTGTGTGTGTGTGTGTGTGTGTGTGTGTGTGCGTGCGTGCATGTGTGTGTTTAAGTCCCACCTGCAGATTCCTGACTTTATCGGAGACGTTTTCCTGGGACATGGTATGTTCTGGGCTGGGCTCCTGTACTGCTTCCTCTGGGATAAACACACTGTCGTGGGAGAGGGCTCGGGACCCAATGGGGTTCAGCTCTCTGCAAAGACAAAATGGACGCTACAGTTATAGCATGTTATTACAGTCAGTCATTCATTTCTGACAGGGTGTAGTATCCCTCACACACTGTAAACTTCATAAATTAAAAGCTAAAGGTCAGTCAAGCAGTTTATAGACCACATTTCAACTGAACCACACCCCTTTCTCACCAGACCGTGAGATTTAGTCGACTCCGCTGACTTGAAAATAGATAACCAGACCCATTGCGTGCCAATCGAGAAGCCACATGGTAATACAGTGCCTTCAGAAAGTATACATACCCCTTGATCTATTCCACATTTTGTTGTGTTACAGATTGAATTCAAAATTCTACACACAATACCCCATAATGACAATTGTAAAACATATTTTCAGAAATTAGCGATTACAGCTGAGTCTTTCTGGGTAAGTCTCTAAGAGCTTTGCACGCCTGGATTGTACAATATTTGCACATTTTTATTAAAAAAATTCTTCAAGCTCTGTCGAGTTGGTTGTTGATCTTTGCTAAACAGCCATTTTCAAGTCGTGCCATAGATTTTCAAGCTGATTTAAGTGAAAACTGTAACTAGGCCATTCAGTCAGGAACATTCAATGTCATCTTAGTAAGCAACTCCAGTGTATATTTGACCTTGTGTTTCAGGTTATTGTCCTGCTGAAAGGTGAATTTTTCTCCCGGTGTCTGTTGAGAGGTGTTGAGTTTGCGCCAGACATAGCGTTTTCCTTGATGGCCAAAAAGCTAAATTTTAGTCTCATCTGACCAGAGTACCTTCTTCCAAATGTTTGGGGAGTCTCCCACATGCCTTTTGGTGAACACCAAACGTGTTTGCTTATTTCTTTCTTTAAGCAATGGCTTTTTTCTGGCCACTCTTCCGTAAAGCCCAGCTCTGTGGAGTGTACGGCTAAAAGTGGTCCTATGGACAGATACTCCAATCTCCGCTGTGGAGCTTTGCAGCTCCTTCAGGGTTATCTTTGGTCTCATGTTGCCTCTCTGATTAATGCCCTCCTTGCCTGGTCCGTGAGTTTTGGTGGGCGGCCCTCTCTTGGCAGGTTTGTTGTGGTGCCATATTCTTAAAATTTTTTAATAATGGATTTAAATGGTGCTCCGTGGGATGTTCAAAGTTTTGGATATTTTTTTATAACCCAACCCTGATCTGTACTTCACCACAACTTTGTCCCTGACCTGTTTGGAGAGCTCCTTGGTCTTCATGGTGCCGCTTGCTTGGTGGTGCCCCTTGCTTAGTGGTGTTGCAGACTCTGTGGCCTTTCAGAACAGGTGTATATATACTGAGATCATGTGACACTTAGATTGCACACAGGTGGACTTTATTTAACTAATTATGTGACTTCTGCAGGTAATTGGTTGCACCAAATCTTATTTATGGGCTTCATAGCAAAGGGGGTGAATACATACAGTGGGGGGAAAAAGTATTTAGTCAGCCACCAATTGTGCATGTTCTCCCACTTAAAAAGATGAGAGAGGCCTGTAATTTTCATCATAGGTACACGTCAACTATGACAGACAAAATGAGAATTTTTTTTTCCAGAAAATCACATTGTAGGATTTTTTATGAATTTATTTGCAAATTATGGTGGAAAATAAATATTTGGTCAATAACAAAAGTTTCTCAATACTTTGTTATATACCCTTTGTTGGCAATGACACAGGTCAAACGTTTTCTGTAAGTCTTCACAAGGTTTTCACACACTGTTGCTGGTATTTTGGCCCATTCCTCCATGCAGATCTCCTCTAGAGCAGTGATGTTTTGGGGCTGTCGCTGGGCAACGGACTTTCAACTCCCTCCAAAGATTTTCTATGGGGTTGAGATCTGGAGACTGCCTAGGCCACTCCAGGATCTTGAAATGCTTCTTACGAAGCCACTCCTTCGTTGCCCGGGCGGTGTGTTTGGGATCATTGTCATGCTGAAAGACCCAGCCACGTTTCATCTTCAATGCCCTTGCTGATGGAAGGAGGTTTTCACTCAAAATCTCACAATACATGGCCCCATTCATTCTTTCCTTTACACGGATCAGTCGTCCTGGTCCCTTCGCAGAAAAACAGCCCCAAAGCATGATGTTTCCACCCCCATGCTTCACAGTAGGTATGGTGTTCATTGGATGCAACTCAGCATTCTTTGTCCTCCAAACACGACGAGTTGAGTTTTTACCAAAAAGTTATATTTTGGTTTCATCTGACCATATGACATTCTCCCAATCCTCTTCTGGATCATCCAAATGCACTCTAGCAAACTTCAGACGGGCCTGGACATGTACTGGCTTAAGCAGGGGGACACGTCTGGCACTGCAGGATTTGAGTCCCTGGCGGCGTAGTGTGTTACTGATGGTAGGCTTTGTTACTTTGGTCCCAGCTCTCTGCAGGTCATTCACTAGGTCCCCCCGTGTGGTTCTGGGATTTTTGCTCACCGTTCTTGTGATCATTTTGACCCCACGGGGTGAGATCTTGCGTGTAGCCCCAGATCGAGGGAGATTATCAGTGGTCTTGTATGTCTTCCATTTCCTAATAATTGCTCCCACAGTTGATTTCTTCAAACCAAGCTGCTTACCTATTGCAGATTCAGTCTTCCCAGCCTGGTGCAGGTCTACAATTTTGTTTCTGGTGTCCTTTGACAGCTCTTTGGTCTTGGCCATAGTGGAGTTTGGAGTGTGACTGTTTGAGGTTGTGGACAGGTGTCTTTTATACTGATAACAAGTTAAAACAGGTGCCATTAATACAGGTAACGAGTGGAGGACAGAGGAGCCTCTTAAAGAAGAAGTTACAGGTCTGTGAGAGCCAGAAATCTTGCTTGTTTGTAGGTGACCAAATACTTATTTTCCACCATAATTTGCAAATAAATTCATAAAAAATCATACAATGTGATTTTCTGGAGAGAAAAAAAATCTCATTTTGTCTGTCATAGTTGACGTGTACCTATGATGAAAATTACAGGCCTCTCTCATCTTTTTAAGTTGGAGAACTTGCACAATTGGTGGCTGACTAAATACTTTTTTCCCCACTGTATGCACGCACCACTTTTCCGTTATTAATTTATTTTGAATTTTTTGAAACAAGTTATATTTTTCATTTCACTTCAGCAATTTGAACTATTTTGTTTATGTCCATTACATGAAATCCAAATAAAAATCCATTTAAATTACAGGTTGTAATGCAACAAAATAGGAAAAACACCAAGGGGGATGAATACTTTTGCAAGGCACTGTACCCATAACATGATGCAGCCACCACCATGCTGGAAAATATGAAGAGTGGTACTCAGTGATATGTTGTGTTGGATTTTCCTTAAACATAATGCTTTGTATTCAGGACATAAAGTTTCTTTGCCACATTTCTTGCAGCTTTACAAACAGGAATCACAGGATGCATGTTTAGGAATATTTTTATACTGTATAGGCTTCCTTCTTTTCACGCTGTCATTTAGGTTAGTATTGTGGAGTAATGTTAATGTTGTTGAGCCATCCTCAGTTTTCTCCTATCACAGCCATTAAACCCGGTTTCCTTAATCTCCGGCAACTGAGTTAGGAAGGACGCCTGTATCATTGTAGTGACTGTGTGTATTGATACACCTTCCAAAGTGTAATTAATAACTTCACCATGCTCAAAGGGATATTCAATGTCTGCTTTTTTTTTTTTTATCACCCATCTACCGATAGGTGCCCTTCTTTGCGAGGCATTGGAAACCCTCCCTGGTCTTTGTGGTTGAATCTGTGTTTGAAATTCACTGCTTGACTGAGGAATCTTACATATAATTGTATGTGTGGGGTACAGAGATGAGGTAGTCATTCAAAAAACAGAGTGAGTCCATGCAACCTATTATGTGACTTGTTAAGCAGATATTTACTCCTGAACTTATTTAGGCTTGCCATAACAAAGGGGTTGAATACTTATCGACTCAAGACATTTCAGTTTTTCTTTTTGAATTAATTTGTACATATCTCTGAAAACATAATTCCACTTTGACATGATGGGGTATTGTGTGTAGGCCAGTGACCCAAAATCTCAATGTAATAAATGTTACATTCAAGCTGTAACACAACAAAATGTGGAAAAAGCCTAGGGGTGTAAATACTTTCTGAAGGCACTGTATATGTGGGATACACGTTGGGTCATAGTGGGAATAGTATCATAGACTTTCTCTGTGGTCTGGGTAAGTGTGTCTTACTGAAAGGGATTAAAGACATAATGTGCTCAAGGCCATGCAGACTAAATTATTGATAAGACCTGTGTTCAGAGTTTGTTTCATTTTGAGGTTGAGGCCTGTACAAGCAATAGGGGGAAAACTGCAATGGAGGTACAACTCAACTCCTTATGACAACATTATGAGCAGTGTATAAATGCAACTTTGATTATGAGCAGTGTATAAATGCAACCTTGATTTCTCAGTATCAAACACAATGCATAAATGTCCTGTTTACCTCAGATGTTGATTGGTCTCCTCATCATCTGAGACTACTCCGTTGCACACTTCCCCTGTGGAGAAGCTAGCCTTCAGCTCTACTGCATCAAAGCCCCTCTCCGCTGCCTCCCTCTTCTTCCTCTTCCCAAACAGGCGTCGGAATGGCTGGAATTTGCCCTGCCCTCGCCTATCTGCAGGCGGAAAGATAAATTATAACCAAAGCCACTAGCCACACACTATGAGCTTATCTCTCTTTATATCACACCCATGGATATGTTTGATTGCATCTAAATGAGTGGGCCGGAGTGTGTGTGAATGTGTGTAATTTACACAAGGTGTGTGAATGGATACAAAAGAACTCCACAGGAGATGAGGTGAAGAGAAAACCTTGGCTCAGTTGATAATACTTACCTTCATTAACAGTAAGTTTATGTGAACTCCTATGTAAAAGCCTAGTAGTAGGACTACTCAGAAGGACATGGTCGAGAACCAACATTCTGATCATATAACAGGCTGAATCATTCTGTCCTGACTGGACTTTTGGGAGTCACTCAGTAAATCACTCCCTCTGACTGACTGAGTCTGTCCTTCTCATATCCAAACATATACTGTAATCCATAGGTCTACATATAATATCACAACATTCGTTTCACTTGAATAAACAGACACTCTTTGGATAATGTAGAGACACAGGAGAGGAGCACTTTGGTTATAGTTCATCCATGAGGTGCTCTTTGATCATGGAGCCTCAACGCGACAGTGCGTTTTTTTTATTTTGCTATGCATAAGCCATAAACAATAAAGGGTTTTGAATTTTGCCACTGCATGAGGGTACCTTGATTCCTTCTGGAAGTTTGGTTGCACAAAGGCTTTTTTCTGCATTGTTTACTATCCAGCCTCAACTTATTTTTGTTCTATGGACAGTTAAACAGACACTCCTTTACAAAGCGACTTTAGAAAGTTCATAGTCTCGTGACAGACGACAGTTCAAAATACTATAATACTGTTCATGTTATCGACACAGGAAGGTGTGCTGTGGACTTTTGAGGTTCCAGGTGGTTTTGACTTATCATTGGAGTTTGCACATAAATACTCCTCTATCGTGACGTGTACCCAATTGATTCATAAATCATCCCAAGGAGAGTTATTATACCAACTTCCCTCAAACAGCTGGACTGTAAGAAATAGAACGTTCACCACAACAATGACTCAGTCCAAATCAACCTTGCCCCAAGAAGAAATAAAAAATCCCACCTACAGTATATTTAAGCAATAAGGCCAGAGGGGGTATGGTATATCGGATGTGGCAGGGCTTGAAAACTATTACAGACTACAAAGGGAAGCACAGCCGCGAGCTGCCCAGTGACACAAGCCTACCAGACGAGCTAAACCACTTCTATGCTCGCTTCGAGGCAAGCAACACTGAAGCATGCATGAGAGCACCAGCTGTTCCGGATGACTATGTGATCACGCTCTCCGTAGCCGATGTGAGTAAGACTTATAAGCAGGTCAACATTCACAATGCCGCAGGGCCAGACGGATTACCAGGACGTGTACTCCGAGCATGTGCTGACCAACTGGCAAGTGTCTTCACTGACATTTTCAACATGTCCCTGACTGAGTCTGTAATACCAACATGTTTCAAGCAGACCACCATAGTCCCCGTGCCCAAGGACACTAAGATAACCTGCCTAAATGACTACCGACCCGTAGCACTGATGTCTGTAGCCATGAAGTGCTTTGAAAGGCTGGTCATGGCTCACATCAACACCATTATCCCAGAAACCCTAGACCCACTCCAATTTGCATACCGCCCCAATAGATCCACAGATGATGCAATCTCTATTGCACTCCACACTGCCCTTTCCCACCTGGACAAGAGGAACACCTACGTGAGAATGCTATTCATTGACTACAGCTCAGCGTTCAACACCATAGTGCCCTCAAAGCTCATCACTAAGCTAAGGATCCTGGGACTAAACACCTCCCTCTGCAACTGGATCCTGGACTTCCTGACGGGCCGCCCCCAGGTGGTAAGGGTAGGTAACAACACATCTGCCACGCTGATCCTCAACACAGGGGCCCCTCAGGGGTGCGTGCTCAGTCCCCTCCTGTCCTCCCTGTTCACCCATGACTGCATGGCCAGGCACGACTCCAACACCATCATTAAGTTTGCCGACGACACAACAGTGGTAGGCCTGATCACCGACAACGATGAGACAGCCTATAGGGAGTAGGTCAGAGACCTGGCCGTGTGACCCAGGATAACAACCTCTCCCTCAACGTGACAAAGACAAAGGAGATGATTGTGGACTACAGCAAAAAAAAGAGGACTGAGCACGCCCCCATTCTCATCGATGGGGCTGTAGTGGAACAGGTTGAGAGCTTCAAGTTCCTTGGTGTCCTTATCATGCTCCAAACACACCAAGACAGTCGTGAAGAGGGCACGACAAAGCCTATTCCCCTTCAGGAGACTGAAAAGATTTGGCATGGGTCCTCAGATCCTCAAAAGGTTCTACAGCTGCACCATCGAGAGCATCCTGACTGGTTGCATCACCGCCTGGTATGGCAACTGCTCGGCCTCCGACCGCAAGGCACTACAGAGGGTAGTGCGTACAGCCCAGTACATCACTGGGGCCAAGCTTCCTGCCATCCAGGACCTCTATACCAGGCGGTGTCAAAGACTCCAGCCATCCTAGTCATAGACTGTTCTCTGTGCTACCGCACGGCAAGCGGTACCGGAGCGCCAAGTCTAGGTCCAAAAGGCTTCTCAACAGCTTCTACCCCCAAGCCATAAGACTCCTGAACAGCTAATCATGGCTACCCGGACTACTTGCACTGCCCCCCCACCCCATCTTTTTATGCTGCTGCTACTCTGTTAATTATTTATGCATAGTCACTTTAACTCTACCCACATGTACATATTACCTCAACTATCTCAACTAGCCCGCACATTGACTCTGCACCGGTACCCCCCCCCCCCCCCAGTATATAGCCTCCCTACTATTATTTTATTTTACTTCTGCTCTTTTTTTCTCAACACTTTTTTGTTGTTGTTGTCTTATTTGACTTTTTTTATTAAAAAATAAATGCATTGTTGGTTAAGGGCTGTAAGTAAGCATTTCACGGTAATGTCTACACCTGTTGTATTCGGCACATGTGGCAAATAACATTTGATTTGATATGGCCAATATACCACGGCTAAGGGCTGTTCTTATGCATGAGTGCCTAGATACAGTCATTAGCTGTGGTATATTGGCCATATACCACAAACCCCAGAGGTGCCTTATTGCTATTATATACTGGTTACCAATGTAATTACAAGAGTAAAAATAAATGTTTTGTCATACCCGTGATATATGGTCTGATATACCACAGCTTTCAGCCAATCAGCATTCAGGGCTCGAACCACCCAGTTTATAAAATCGCATAACCAGCAGTTTACTACAAATGCAGAAATAATGGCGGTGATGCTCTGCTCATCATGGCTGCCTACTTGTCCTGTCCTTGTCAGATGGTGTTTTGCACTGTGCTCTACCAACTGAGTCACACAGGAACATCAGTATTACACTAGTGTGTATACACCCTTATGTTATACTAGGGAAATTGTGTTTACATAGCTAGGGCTGACAGTGAGGACTTGTGAAGAGCAGAATCAACAACCTCTGCGTAGTGACTTCCTTACCAATTGAACATAGTCACTGCCCAAGCCTGAAGTGGGGTTGTTTCAGATGCATACAGTCCACATTCGAAGTTTCCAAAAGCCAAACGGCAAAAACATTCAATGAGATCCAGGGATATGGTGCAACAAAAAAATGATTTATTCTTCTTATATCTAACAAAAAATGATTCTCCAATCAGCTTAAGGCATAGATTAGTTGACATGAAAATACATAATACGGTCTGTTTCTTTGTATGTATGTATGTATGTATGTACACTACCGTTCAAACGTTTGGGGTCACTTAGAAATGTCCTTGTTTTCGAAAGATTTTTTTTTTTTTGTCCATTAAAATAACATTAAATTGATCAGAAATACAGTGTAGACATTGTTAACATTGTAAATGGCTATTGTAGCTGGAAACGGCTGATTTCTAATGGAATATCTACAAGGCGTACAGAGGCCCATTATCAGCAACCATCAGTCCTGTGTATTCGGATCACAAAGAAGAACATTTGTGAGACGCAGACCAAATGAAAAGATGCTGGAGGAGTGCTTGATGCCATCTGTCAAGCATGGTGGAGGCAATGTGATGGTCTGTGGGTGATTTGGTGATGGTAAAGTGGGAGATTTGTACAGGGAGAAGGGATCTTGAAGAAGGAAGGCTATCACTCCATTTTGCAACGCCATGCCATACCCTGTGGACGGCACTTGATTGGAGCCAATTTCCTCCTACAACAGGACAATGACCCAAAGCACAGCTCCAAACTATGCGATAACTATTTAGGGAAGAAGAAGTCAGCTGGTATTCTGTCTATAATGGAGTGGCCAGCACAGTCACCGGATCTCAACCCTATTGAGCTGTTGTGGGAGCAGCTTGACCGTATGGTATGTAAGAAGTGCCCATCAAGCCAATCCAACTTGTGGGAGGTGCTTCAGGAAGCATGGGGTGAAATCTCTTCAGATTACCTCAACAAATTGAACTAGAAACTAGAACCACGAACTAGAATGCCGAAGGTCTGCAAGGCTGTAATTGCTGCGGAGGATTCTTTGACAAAAGCAAAGTTTGAAGGACACAATTATTATTTATATTAAAAATCATTATTTCTAACCTTGTCAATGACTACATTTCCTATGCATTTTGCTATATTTCCTATTCAAACTCATTTCATGTATGTTTTCATGGAAAACAAGGACATTTCTAAGTGACCCCAAACTTTTGAATGGTAGTATATATATATATATATATATATATATATACATACATACAGTGCCTTTGGAAAGTTTTCAGACCCCTTGACTTTTTCAACATTTTGTTACGTTACAGCCTTATTCTAAAATGGATTAAACAAAAATCCTGAGCAATCTACACACAATACCCCATAATGACAAAGTAAAACAGTTTTTTTTGTTGTGCAAATGTATTAAAAATAGAAAAACAGAAATACCTTATTTACATACAGTGGGGAAAAAAAGTATTTAGTCAGCCACCAATTGTGCAAGTTCTCCCACTTAAAAAGATGAGAGAGG